AAATATATGAGGAAAATATACCCGGGGGCCATAGGTTTCACTAGAGGCTTCTCTCTAGAAAGAAAATAATACGGTGGGTGAACAAATTACTGTCAAGCATTTGATAGAAAAGCGCAAAGTTATGATGATATCCAAGGGCAATGATTATGAATATAGGCATCACATCCGTGTCAAGTAGGCCGACTCCTACCTGCATCTACTACTATTACTCCGCACATCGACTGACTCCTGTCTGCATCTAGAGTATTAAGTTCAGGAGAATAGAGTAACGCTTTAAGTAAGATGACATGATGTGGAGGGATAGACTCAAGCAATATGATGAAAACCCCATCTTTTTACCCTTGATGGCAACAATACAATACATGCCTCGCTACCCCTACTGTCACTAGGTGAGGACACCTCAAGATTGAACCCAAAACTAAGAACCTCTCCCATTGCAATAAATACCAATCTAGTTGGCCAAACCAAACCAATAAATCGAAGGGAAATACAAAGATATCAAATCATGCATATAAGAATTCAGAGAAAATTCAAATAATATCCATAGATAATCTAATCATAAATCCATAATTCATCGGATCTCGACAAACACACCGCAAAAGAATATTACATGGGATAGAACTCCAAGAACATCGAGGAGAACATTGTATTGAAGATCAAAGAGGAAGAAGAAGCCATCTAGCTACTAGCTATGGACCCATAGGTATGTGGTAAACTATTCACGCTTCATCAGAAAGGCAATAGGGTTGATGTAGAAGCCCTCCGTGATCGGATCCCCCTCCGGTAGAGTACCGGAAAAGGCCTCCAGATGGGATCTCACGAGGTCAGAGACCTGCGGCGGCGGAAAAGTACTTTGGTGGATGCTTCTGATCATTTGGGAATATTTCTGAATTTATAGGCCAAGAATTATGGTTGGAGGAGCTTCGAGGGACCCACAAGCCCTCAGGGCGCCTCCCCTAGGGCTTGCCCCTGAGGCTTGTGGCCGCCTCGGGGCTCCTCTGACTTCATTTCCAAGTCCTCCGTGTGTCTTCTGGTCCAAGAAAAATCATTGTAAAGTTTTCTTTTGTTTGGACTCCATTTGATATTCCTTTTCTGTAAAACTCAAAAACAAGGGAAAACAGAAACTGGCACTGGGCTCTGCGTTAATTAGTTAGTCCGAAAAATAATATAAAATAGCATATTAATGCATATAAAACGTCCAAAATAGATAATATAATAGCGTAGAACAGTCAAAAATTATAGATACATTGGAGACGTATCACGTGCTCGTCGTGTTCCCCCATCCAATCCACTAAAGCAGGAGTAGGGTTTTACTCTTCTCAGTGGCCCGAACCTGGGAAAAAACCACCAGTGTCAACACCGTCGTGTTGTTCCATGACCTCTGCCCTTTGTGCAATGTGATCTTCCCCCTTGTCGAACTACAAGGGGCCGATGGCTCCATAGGTGATCGTGTTCCACCATCACACTTGCGCATATGACGCTCTTTATACACTTTGGTTGGATAGGGGTCGGCCGTGCGTACCCACAATTCAGCATAACCAGCTGCAACGACATATCGCGAAGCTCTGTTTTTGTTGACACCTTGGGCATGTTTGCACCAAGATTTCCAAGGGATCAACACATGCGGAGAAAGCCATGGCGTGATTGAAGGACCTGCAAGTGGCGAAGACGATGTCTTAGATGCGACAAAGACTTGGCTTCACAGGCAGTTGTTCAAACTTGGCTTGCGGGATATGTTCCCTTCCAGATGGGACACGAGTTTCTATGAGTCTGGTGGTATGTGCCTTGCAGTAGTAGCCTCCGCAAGTGGGGGCGACAACATTGTATGACTTCTTTGTTGGTGGTGCTCCTCTGAGTACCTAGTCATGATTTCAAGGGTGAAAATCTGGCCTTTATTGGTTGTGCTTGGCAGTGGCCTTGTTGAAGGCATTGTTTTGCGGACGCGGTCTCTCTCCAGGGTGAAAACCTAAGATCTTTGATCGGGCAACGACAATGCTTGTGCTTTGTTTCCTTCTTGGATGCGTTTCTTTTAGAGAACCTCATTTGTAGTCCGGGTGTTATCTTTGGTGGTGGTTAGAGTGCTGCTACGACGGGTGATTGATCACCGTGGCGAGTCCTTTTTCTCTTTCTTTTTTTGGATGTGTGCATTCTGGATGTTTTTAGACATCTTGTTGTTGCAGAGGCTGGGTGTAATTGGCATATGCTTGATATTAATATATACCCCTTTTCAAAAAATATAATTACAAGTAATAATATCTTCTAGAGAAGGTAACACTTTTCTTATGTGAAAAAGATTCAGACCTTCTTTGGTTCATAGGATAGAAATAGTATAGCAATAAAAATCAAAGGAAGTGAGTTGACATGCATATGAATTTCTATATGGAAAGGGATGTCATTTGATGCATATGATAGGAGTTTCTTCATTGAGTCTAGACTAATATTTTGTTTCTTTGAAATGTAAATGATTGATTCCTATTCTACATAGGAATAGGAATCCCTTCCAACAAACCAAAGGTTTCCAAAGAAACTTTTCCTTCAAAGTTTCTATCCTTTAGAATTCCTATGAACAAAAGGAGGCCTCCGATATTAATATAAAAGTTCATCAGAAATAAAAAGCACCTCAAACATAATAAAAATTACATTCAGAAAGTATTCTCGTGCGTGCCCCAAAGGATTCTCGTCGCTCTCCTACAAGAGCCGGTTTGACCTAGTCGACGACAACCAGAAAGTATTCTCGTGCGTGCCCCAAAGGATCAGTGCCCTGGAACCGCAATCGTCATCATTGAACCCTTGAATAAATCTGAAGCAACTGACACCAAATCTCGCCATCGCGCATACATGACGAGAAACCCTAACCTCGCCGCCCAAGGAGATGGCATGAATCTACGACGGAGCTTCGTTGACTATGTCCAGATGGACAAACTCGAGTACAATTAGAGGGAAAGACAAACTCAAAGAAGATGCGTCGCCATCCGCCTGAGCAGCACACGTGCGAGGACTAAAAAAACCTAACCTAACTGACTAGCCGGAGCGAACGCACTAGGAATTCCCTCCCCGCCACCGGACGTTGGAGCGACAGGCAGAGGGGAGGCAAATCAACGGGCTCACTCGTGAAACCTAAATGGGTGAGTTTGCAACCTCCTGGCCCCCGCATCCCTCTCACAGGCGACACGAAGAAAACCCTAGCTGCTAGTCATCATAGACCCTTCCCCTCCTCACCCCTCGCTTTTGGCAGGGAGGCAACCGAGCTAGGCCCCTGCCATGGATGACGGCAGGAGGGGGGGAGGGAGCTATTGTTGTTCGCGGTGAGGCATTGGATCCAGTCGTCCCTGCTGCCAGTGAAGCGCCTTCATGCCCGGGTGCATGCAGGATGGCGCCACGGTCGTCATTTTCCCTCCTGGCGGCGACCTCGACGGATGTCCTCGCAGCGAGGCATAGGATAGTGTCGCTCTTGATCTGGATTCCTAGGTCTGATGGTTGTGTTCTCCTGGGCCAGCGTGCCTGGTGCGCGGAGGACGTGGGTGGTGGTTTATGCAGGCTAGCCGGCCATGGGTCTGGGAGGCAAAGCTGCCGATGAAAGCTGGGCTAGGATGTGTTCTAGTCCGATGACAACGATGCTTGCATGCACCATTACCTTGATGAAGGTGTCGTCAATGCAGTTCTGGTCACGTTGCCCTTGTTGCTCCGGTGGAAATCACATGTCCGGGTTGTCTCGGATCGGGCAATGGCGGCACTTCTGTCACGGTTTCCTCTTGAGACATCCCTTTGAAGCTAGTCCCGACTAGAGGGGGCCTGGTGGGTGGTGGTGGTCGTCAGCAATTGGTGTGGCAATGGCGATGTGAATGCGTGACGGCCTGGTTGTAGTAGTCGACTCCTCGACGTGTTCACCTGTTCATCGTGGGATGTTTTCTACGATGAAGTCGAAGTTGCGGCGAGGATCGTGCGACAAGATGACATGCGGCGGCGGGCATGCCAGCTTGATGATTCTTCGCGGGGCCAACCCTGCATAGTTCTTTGTCGTGATTTTTTCTCGGCCCCGGAGCTGTCCTGTTATGGCGTATGGCTGATCTTTCACGGCTTTGGTCTTCATGTGGCTCCTCTCGGCCTTTGCGGCGTGGGCTTTGTCGGTGGTTGATTGCGGTGAAGTCGGTGTCGCTTGTCGAGGAGCTAGGATGGCGATGACGCCAATGCACCGTGTCAACAGGGCTCTCTCCTCGTAGCGGTGTGAGGGTAGTGTCTTGTTTGTGTGTGTGATCAGCGGGTTGTGACGGATTTTCCCGCTAATTAACCGGACAACTCTTTCTTCATCTTAATCAACGAAAATCACAACTCTTTTGCCTTATTAACTTGCAAAATCTCATGAACACTGTCAGCCTCCTTGTATTCAATAACGCAACAAACACGGTCACATACCCACCCAAAAGTCCAAACGCATGGACGGTGACACCATTAGGGCACAACATTGTTCACAATCACAGCATGAATACATGATGCAGACAGGCTGTCCACCGAATCCGCACATAAACATTCGGCTCTACCACCGGGTCGTCTCTGCCACTGTTGCCACTGAACTTCCATTAAAAGGGACAGAAAGAAGGGGAACTCGAACCCTCCCCCCAACGGTCACTTCGTCGTCGTCTCATCCCCGCCCGGATCGCCTCCCCTCCGACCAACCCACCCGGCCGCCCCTCATCTCCCTTCCCCTCCCCTCCCCTCCCACACGAGCGGCGACGAACCAAGGAGCAGCGAGGCCGAGGAGGAGGAGTCATCGCCATCAGCATTAACTCCTCGTCTCCCTGCCCTCCCTCGAAAGCGCCACCACACCACCGGATCCAATCCAACCACCTCCCTTGGCGCCCGACTCGAGGCCCTCCCTCTCCTCTCCCCATAGGTTCGATTTCTCCGATCCTCACCGAATCCGCCACGCCCTCTTCCCACCCGCGCCTCGTCCCGCCCCGCTGGGCCATGCCCCTGCCGCCGCCGCCGCAGCAGCAGCCGCGATGGCGCGTTGCGGCGTGGAGTTGATCGCCAGCAGGGGCTGCTCCAGGCTGCTCCTCCCCGGGATGCAGCCCTCCTCCGCCTCCGCCGCCTCCTCCTCCGTCTCGGCCTCCCGCTCCGCCGCGGCCGCTGCCCCTGCCGCCCGGCGTCCGCCCGACGGCCCCTTCGCAGGCCTGGTCGTCTGCGTCACGGGGCTGTCCAAAGGTGAATAGAGTTTGCTTCTCGATTTTGGCCTGGGATTGGGATAGCTTGAAAGGTGGTTTGCTTGCTTCTCGATTTCAGGGGTTTTGATGTGGTTTGGGGAATTTTTGTGTTTGTATGTGTTCTGCAGAGGCGAGGAGTCAGGTGAAGGAGGCTGCCGAGAGGCTCGGAGGCGACTACAGCGGCAGCTTGCACCCCAAATGCACTCACCTTGTGGTGCAGATATCCTTGCCATCGTCTGTTTTTCTTTCCTTTTCAAAATCATTCCACTGTTATGCTTGTTTCTCAAAATTCAGGTTACCAGTTTATCGAAAAAAAATATTCAGGCTGCCATGCTTGTGCTTCCTTAACACGCAGCACAGCTTCGCCGGCCGCAAGTTTGAGCACGCTCTCAAGCATGGTCCCAGGAATGGCCTTTTTGTTGTCACGCTGGGCTGGTTTGTCGATTGTGTTCGAAGGAACAGTAAGACAGGCTCCATCAATACTTCTTCCTGTTCTGTTTCTGCCAAGTTACCAGTGCGTCATCTGACTCTGATTTATGGTGTTTCTACTACAGTGAGGCTGGATGAATCCTTGTACAGTATCAAGAACATTGGGGAGAACGGTCTGCCGCTTGGGGAATCCAACCGGCTTGTTGGACTTCCTGTTAATGAGAAGTCATGCCTTCCACCAATGATTTTTCAAGACAAAGCATGCTCAGACACAACACTTAAGCGCCAGCTTCAGGCTCATAGAGAAGAACCTGAACATGATGTGTTCGTTTTTACGAATGACACAATCTACATTGACCCTGGGATATCTGGTGAGATGAAGAAGAAGGTATGTCCATTTCAGTTGCTGCTTCATTCCATAATGGTTGACACTCCACCACCCACATGCTTCAGAAAGAAAATTATTATTTTCTGGTTGCTCCTGTTGATAGAGTATAATATTAAATCACCAAATGGATAAGAGAATTACTTAAAGATAGATAGATAGATAGAGAGAGCAATCGGCCAAATGATGCAATGCCTTTTCTCTAAAAAAATCAGTTTACAAGCATCACGAAATTTCCACTCTTTCACTGGAGTCATCTTCACGCGACATCCTTTGTTAAATTGCGCGAATGATTGTTTTACATAAAATGCATTTTGCTGCAGATATCGGATGCTGCTACGAGTGAAGATGCAAAATTATTGGACCACTGGTTTATTGGTTGTCATGCCACATATGTTGTGTGTGAGGATGCTTCTGTCAAGAGATATGTTGGTCACTCAGATAACATTGTAACAGTAAGTAATACTGAACTACTGCAATAATAACCTCTTGTGTTCCGACACTCCTAATTTACTTTAGGACCATTGTGTACTATTTAACACTTTCTGCTTGAATGTTTCAGCCGTTTTGGATCTTGAAAACAGTGAAGGAAAAGAACTTGCAGCGCCTGGTCCATTTGTCTTCAGACCTAGCTAGACATGTCGCAGTGGTTCTAGAAAATTTCCACACATCTCAAGAGGTATTTTATGCCATGTACTCTTGTGGACAAACCTGAATCTAGTCTTTTGTTATCCAAAGTTTTCCTTTCAACAAACTGGGGAAAGACGTCTTTAGTTTTGGTTTCTACAAAGGTAGGGTTAAGATTTTTCACATCAACCTTTTTTACGTGTTTCACCGCGTCTTTTTTTTGGTGTTGAAAAGAAACAGGAAAAGACAAATTGGTATCTGGCATTTTACATTTGCAACTCCTACCTGTCTTTATAAAAGAGAACAACCTTCTAGAAATAAAATAGATTTTTCATTGCGGTTTCTACAAAGCTTGGAGTAAGTTTTGTTATCTTTGTTAGGTGTCTTTTTCCCCCCTGTGTGTTCAAAGGGAAAAGGAAAAACGAAACTAGAATTGTATATGGACGACTACCTAGTCCCTACGTGTCTCCAAAAAATGGAGTACAGCTCGGAATCAGTAACAAACAGCTGAGCTTTGCTACATCTACGGGCTGTCTTATACGGATTGCAATCTACAGGCTGAGCCGCTGAGGTGGCATGAGCTAACTGGCAACTGGGGGCCCCGAAGTTAAAAATCAGAAGGGAGGGGGGGATAGAACAGTTTATGTTTTTTTTCTTATTCCTTAATTTTTTATTTATAATAGGTTTTTTTCTTTAAAAAAAGGTTTATTTTCTATATTTGGACTCTTCATTGGTTAACGTTGGATCTTCTGTTCTTTTAGAATACGAAACTTGGGAGTGTTCCTACTCTTAACTCCAGCGAACTGCCAACCCGAGGGGAGATAGATGAGACTCGTCAGGAAAGGCAAAAATTTGTCGAGGCAGCGAAAAAGGATATTCGAGACCGCCGTGTTCGCCGTATGCAGGTAAGGAATGTTTCACCTATCGCAATATGATCTCCCTTTTCATTGTTAAAATATAAAGAGCCAGAAAATTATTTGTTATGTTTTCTTCCAGCATCAGACTGGTTGTTAAAATATAGAAAAGCTCATCTCCTATGCATCTGGCAGTCACAGTTACCCAATTTCTTGTGAATTCCGACTAGTGTGACAATTATGGGATGTTGGTATACCCTTGCTTGTTAAGAAAAATAAATGCCTGCATGAGAATATGTTTTAGAAAAATAGTTGGAAACAAAGAATTTGCTGATGCCAAAGCTATGTGTTGAATTAGCTACCTTTTTATTCATATTTGTCTCTTCTATATGAAACATTTTGATGAATGTCTACATTATGATTTTAAGCCAGTCATGTGAAGTACCAATCCATCCTCTCACACCTGTCACACTTCTGGATTCAATCTGCTGGACAATATCTGAGCCGGTTTCATCTGCAAGTATTTATATGGATTCTTCATGGTCTGAAGATGCCGATGAGCAGCAAAGCACTACCTATTTTGATGCAGATGGGGATGGAAAGGATCGAGACCAGTCAGCTGATAATTTGTCTCGCCCGCTAAGAGAAAGGTAATAATAACTTCTTGAATCAACCAAAACTCTGTAACCTTTTTCCCTAATAGCTCTGTTTTTTTGTTTCAGTGAGAGAAGCGAGGTGATTTTTAAGAACCATTTCTTTACCATACTCTTCCCTCTCGATCGTTTTGGTGAGCTTGGACCTTTTTCGAGGACATTCTTCAGCAATGGTGGCTTCACACGCGAACAAGTGTTGGATCACATCTATAATTTCTACCAGGTATTTATTGTTTTTTGGTCATAGACCAGAAGCATCCCACAACACACTTCTGGTGTAACCGTGGTTCAGATTTGGTGTGCGAGTTTGTGGTAAAAGATCACCTCTTTGCGCAGGAGAACATGTCAACCGACGAGATAAATGTAGCCCTGCACACAGATTCACGGCATGCCGATCGACTTCGTTCCCTGTATGCAAGCGCTGAATGCGCAGAACGAGGCTTTGTAGTAGCATTCAAAAGAATAGATTTTTTGGGAAGCCGGAGAAGTTTCGAGGCACTAAAGCGCCTTAGCAGAGAGAACAATAGCAATGTATATGAGCTTGTGATTAGGGCATGAACGGCACCCGCACTCAGTGCCATTTAGTAAAATTTGTTTGTTGCTTACAGGATGTACTGTGCCATGTCCATGGTATGCAGAATAAAATTGTAGAGAATAATACACGGCTGAATGAAAAGGGTTATGTTGTAGGATTTTGTGCTTTCTATCCTTGGAAGCTCAAGATCATGTTCGAAGAGATTTCGGAGTGAACATGTATGGCTTCAGAAATTTTCGACCGGCAGTAAAAAACAGTAATCTTGAATGCATTTTAGTCATGTAAGTAGAAATAGGCACCTAGTTGGTGGGACTGTACATCCACTACCCCTACTTATGAGCTAGGCTCACTTCTTATTTCTGCTAAGATCTGGTAACTACTACTCCCTCCGTTCGGAATTACTTGTCGCGAAAATGGATGTATCTAGATGTATTTTAGTTCTAGATACATCCATTTCCAAGACAAGTAATTCCGAACGGAGGGAGTACATACATTTTTCAAACTCCTTTTGTATGTCAGCTATGTACTGTGGCAGCTGACCTCACAATACTGTTGAGAACTTGAGGGGAATCCTTACATATCCATCCTCACCAAAGTGTTCAGCACCTCTCTCATGGAAGGCCTCGACTGGCAAGCCGCCTGCGTGCAGGAAATGGCTAGATCAAGCAAGTCCAGTGCCTTGGCCTGCTCATCTTCAGGCCAGTAGACAATCTCCTCATCCAAGCAGTTCATGGCGGCGGGGCGATGATCTGCCTGCTTCATGCTCGACCTCATCCATGTCACGATGTCAACGCCGTCTCCAAACACGGAGTCCACAGCCATCTTCCTGCACAGGAGCTCGAGCAGCACCACCCCGTAGCTGTACACGTCGCTCTTCTCGGTTAACCTCGTGGAGTATCCATGCTCTGAAAATCAATGGTGGTGACACATGTGCTAAATAAATCCTGAATTTTCAGACACTGTGATCTTACAGAATACAGAGCTAGACATATGATGAGAAGGAAATGGTGGTACCTGGCGCGATGTAGCCGAGGGTGCCAACGATGACGGAAACCGTGGCGTCCGCGTCCTCGTCGCCGACGATCTTCCCCATGCCGAAGTCGGCGAGCTTGGGCACCATGTCGGCGTCCATCAGCACGTTGCTCGACTTGACGTCCCTGTGGACGATCATGGGCACGCAGTCCTGTTGCAGGTAGGAGAGGCCCTGGGCCAGACCAAGGGCGATCTGGTGCCGGGCAGTCCAGTCGAGGGCCACCTGAGGCTTCCTCCCGTGCAGCAGCTCGAAGAGCGTCCCCTCGGGCATGTACTCGTAGAGGATCAGCCCGGCGCCGCCGCGGATGTGGTACCCGGCCATCCTGACGACGTTCCGGTGCCTCACCGTGTTGAGGATCTTCATCTCCACCGGGAACTTGCCGTGGGACAGGTCCACCGTCTTCACCGCCCACTCCCTCCCGAGCTTGCTCTGCGTGCGGTACACCGTGCCGTGCCGGCCTCGCCCGATCACGTACCTCTCGCTCCAGTTGTCGGTCGCCCGGAGGATGTCCTCGTAGGTCAGGTCCTCCGGCAGCTCCTCCGTCGAGTCCATGCTGCGGATCGAGGCGCGCCGGGCTGATCGGCGCCGCGACGACCTCTTCGCGACGTGGTGGAGGAGGAACATGCTGGCAGCGATGATGGCAAGAGTTGGAAGTAGCAATGCAACGACGATCCGTGCATTTCTGGTTCTGTTTTTCAGGGACTGGTTCTTGTTGGAGCAAGGTGCACTGTCAGACTGAATGCACAGCTGAGGGTTCCCTGAGAAGCCTTCAGGCGACTGTGCTGCCAGCTTAGCCCAGCCGGCAGGGAGCTGGCCGGACAGCTCGTTGAGCGACACGTTCACGGCCAGAAGGGAGATCATGTTGCTCAGCTGCGGCGGGATCGGGCCGGACAACGAGTTCTTGGACAGGTCCAGCACTTCCAGGCCCTGAAGGTTGCCGAGGCTGCTTGGGATCTGGCCGCTCAGTCTGTTGCTGCTCATGTTCAGGGTTTTAGAGATGTACTGAAGATTGCCCAAGCTGTGTGGGATGGCTCCTTCAAAATGATTGTCACCAAGCTGCAGCTCAAGGAGGGCCTGCGTCGCGGCGAAGGAATCCGGTACTGCCCCGGTGAGCTTGTTGCCGCCGAGTAGGAGGCTTTGCAGGCTGCCAAGAGCTGTGATCTCCGCCGGCAAACTTCCATTCAGAAGGTTGTTTCCAAGGTCTAAGCAAACAAGCCGTTTGCAGTTTCCTAGTTCATGTGGTATCGATCCTGTCAGCGTGTTCGACGACACTCGCAGGGTCACAAGATTGCTCAGAGCGCCGAGCTCGTGGGGTATTGGACCAGAGAAGGTGTTGCGCGAGAGGTCGATCATGGTGAGGTTGCTCCATGAGCCGATCACGCCTGGTATCCTTCCTTCAAGAAGGTTGTTACTCATGTCGATGTACGACAGCCCTCTGTTCGTGGCCAGGTCTGCAGGTAAGCTCCCACTGATCCTGTTGTTGTTCAGGTTGATCCCATACAGAGACTGGCATTTGGCAATCTCACTGGGAAATCTTCCATGGAATCGGTTGTATCCAAGATCAAGGACGGCGAGCTGGCTTCCTGTGCACAGGCCAGGAGGGACCGCGCCGTGGAAGCGGTTGCCGGTGAGGTCGACGCGGAGGATTCCCGGCGTGGTGTTGAGCCCCAGGGCTTGCGGCAGCTCGCCGGTGAAGTTGTTGCTGTACAAGGTGATCTCTCTCAGGTTCCTCATGCGAGTGATGCCTGGATGTATCTGGCCACCTAGGCTGTTGTTGTTGAGGTACAGCTCCACCATGCCAGCCAGTTGCCACAGTGCTGGAGGAACCGGGCCGTGGAGCATGTCGTTGAACAGATACAGCTTTTGCAGCAGGCTGAGCTCGGCGATCTCCGGCGGTATCGTGCCGGAGAGGCTGTTGTTCTGGAGCTCAAGCTCCACCAGTCCACGGCAGCTCCTGATTTCCGGCGGAATTCTCCCGGTGAGGCTGTTGTCCGCGACAGAAAACTTGTGCAGTAGGCTCAGGTTGCCGATACATGGTGGGATTGAGCCGGTGAAGCAGTTGCCGTTCAAGTAGAGCAGTGTCAAGGACTGGCACTGCCCGATTGTATAGGGGACGGAGCCGGTGAACCAGTTACTCGACACCACCAATTCTTCCAGGTTCAAAAGCTCGCCGATGCTTGCCGGCAATGCGCCGGTGAACGCGTTGTTGCCAAGGTACAGTTTCTGCAAGTTCGGCGTGGAGGCGAAGAAATCGGGCACCTCGCCGCTGATGTTGTTGTTGGGTAGATACAGGACGGTGAGGTTGCAGCAGTTGGCGAGGCTGCGGGGGAGCTCACCGGCGAGCTGGTTCGAGAAGAGGCTGAGGTAGAGCAGCCCGCACGGAGCTGAGAACTCCGGCACTGGGCCGGACAGGTTGTTGCTGCTCAGGTCCAGGTAGGTGAGCTCCGGGAGCGCGGCGAGCTCCGGAGGGATGACGCCGGAGAGTGAGTTGGCGCTGAGGTCGAGGTACACGAGGAGCGAGGAGCCGGAGGGAGCGGCGGGGATCTCCCCGGTGAGCGCGTTGGTGTTGAGGTCGATCGTCCGGAGACGGTGCGAGGAGAGGAGCTCCGCGGGGACGGCGCCCGCGAGGAAGTTGAAGGCGAGGACGAGCGTGGTGACGGCGGAGCACGCGGCGAGCGCGGCGGGAACGGCGCCCGTGAGGTTGTTCCGGCTGAGGTCAAGCGCGGCGAGCGCCGGGAGCGCGCAGAGGCGCGGCGCGGACGCGCCGAGAGCGCCGGAGAGCCCCGTGCTGGAGAGGTTGATCGCGATCACGGCGCCGGCGGCGGAGCACGTGACGCCAAGAAACGCGCAGTGACGGTGGTGGTGGCGCCGGTAGATGGCGAAGGGGGAGGACGAGTTGCCGCCGGTCCGGTGGCGCCGCAGCCATGTCGGACGGAGGACGCGCTGGGCGGCCGGGGGAAGCGCGGCGACGAAGGAGAGTAGAACCGCCGTGGTGGAGCCGGCGCCGGGGGAGGTGTTCGGCGGAAGGGGCTGCGCAATGGAGGCAACCAGGGGGACGAGGAGGAGCAGGAGGAAGGGGCGGCGCGACATGCGAGGGAGGTGCAGCAGCTTCGTGGTCTTTTGGGCGTTCGAGGAGGAGCAGGGTAGCCGCGGGAAGTCAGGGTAGAGACGGTGATACTCTGAAGAGACGATGGAACATTGTCATGGTGGTGGCGGCATCGCCAGTGGGGCCTGGCTGGATGCCGAGATCGGCTGCGGCGGCCGGCGGGGGGCAGAACCATCGTGCTGCGTCCAATGGTTTGAAATAAACCCGGGCATGGGCAGCCCGGCCCGACGACCCGGCCCGAAAAACCCGGGCCGGGCCGGGCCGGGCTTGACGTTCGGGCCGGGCTCGGGCTTAGTTTTGCAGCCCGGAAGATAGTTCGGGCCGGGCTCGGGCTTCATTTTTTATGTATTTCGGGCCGGGCTTTCGGGCTTCGGGCCGGGCTTGCACGTGCATACACTAAAAAACAGCGTTCGGGCCGGGCTTTCGGGCTTCGGGCTTGACTTCGGGCCGGGCTCGGACTTGAAAACAGGGAGTATTTCGGGCTTCGGGCCGGGCTCGGGCTTGGGAAATGAAGGTCGGGCTTTTATAAGCCCGGCTCGAAACCCGGCCCGGCCCGACGTTTGCCCGGGTTTAGTTTGAAAGTATCAGGTACTCCCATCTTGGGTTACTTCCGGTGCTCCAAGTTTAAAAACAAATCTTAAATGTTCCAAAAAAATTCAAGAAAAATGTGAATGTTCGCAAGGTATGTGACTACAACCCCTGAACATTTCAGGCCCAAACTCGAAATGCATATTGATAAAAAAAATCTAGATGTGAATAGCGTCAATGTTGCTTTTGTTTTTTTAACACTATTCATGCTAGATTTTACATTTGTGTTTCTTAATGTTCGTTTTGAGTTTGGAGGTGAAATTTTTAGGGGTTGTAGTCACATTCCTTGTGAACATTCACATTTTTATCCGGAATTTTATGACACATTTATGAATGTCTTTTTTGAACTTGAAGCACCGGGAGTACCTCAAGGATGGGAGTACATGATACTTTCCCCATCCGCTGGAGAGGCAAAAGAGGGTCCAATACAGTCACAAGTTTTTATTTGCGGGAGACCAAAAGGACAACTTACTCTTTAGTTTTTCTATATATGATTTTAATTTGAGTAAAAAAAAGTTTCGATATAAACTCTAGTTTTTGTCATAACCGCCAAGCTAATTTCTTCTTTTAAAAAATTTGCCAATAGAAAGATTCCTAAATTCTGTGCCAGGAATATACTACATGCCAACAGAACAATGACTTGAAATAAGAGCCAACGCGCCAGACATACCTTTATTGTCGTATTAGCAGCAACCACCAAAATGAACTAACTATACCAGCATATCCCTATCTCATCATATTAACAACAATCACTAAGATGAACTGACTATATCAGCATACCTCTGTCCCATCATATTAACAACATCGCCACATAGACTAACTGGTACGTCACATATTTCTTTGCACGAGAACTCATAAACTACACCATATAACTTGACAATTGACACCCGACAATTGAAATAGGCACCACCTCCTATTTACTAGACTTTGTCTACAATGCAGTATCATATTACCTGTTTCAACTCTAAATCTAAGAGGAATAATTAGTACAAGCCAAAGGTGTTGCATTACAGACAATGTATTGTGATATATAATATTGCGGAGAAGGAATGACTAAGTGTAACATTTAATAAGCTGATAATGCTTTGGCAGTCAATAAGGGTATAATGGGCACCGAAGCTCACAGGCCACTAGAGCATGGTGTTCATGGGAAGAGCATTACCCACTGCAGCTTGTTGTCACAGAAGATGTATCCATGCAAGCGGAAGCACGCCATGCTAGTGACCGTTGGATCAAGGAGCACGAGGGTAGTCAATGTCACAGACAGAATGGTCATGTCCCCTTGCTTACCCGAGAGAAATTTGGGAACTAGGAGAAAATAAAATAGTTTTTATACCAAACTTTTATACATATTTTTTTAACTTTTTTATCATACTACAATATTAAGGAGTATACATTTTACTATTTAGCCGGTATAGTTAACCCATAATTTAGTCGGTATAGTTAATCAATGTTCTTTGGCATGGTTGTAATGTATAACGCTGGTCACTTTGTTTATGCTAACCTTAAATTAAGTATGTAACATGAATCATCTTTGAATTATTTTTGTGACAATTCCACAAATTATATAGTGGGCTAGAACATATTTGTATGTATATGCATATGGTCATTTATAATTTACATTCATTAAATATCATGTTAGAGATTTCTAGTGTATTATTAGGTGTGCATATTTATAGAACTTTGTAGAGTCTAAATTTTACCGTTTACAAATATGTCACAAGTTAGAATCAATAATAAGTTTGACATATGCATGTTGCTAAAATATCACCGATGAACATAAACATACCGCCAATTCAGTTATGCATGCACGCATTACATTTCCATGATTATACCAAATCTTAAAATAAGGTTTGGAACTTCAAAGAGAGGAGTTATTTTTACAGAAATGCGTGGCCTCACCTGGCTGATAAGTGGATGCTGTTGGAAATATGCCCTAGAGGTAATAATAAAATGATTATTATTATATTTCCTTGTTCATGATAATTGTCTATTGTTCATGCTATAATTGTATTAACCGGAAACCGTAATACATGTGTGAATACATAGACCACAACATGTCCCTAGTGAGCCTCTAGTTGACTAGCTCGTTGATCAATAGATGGTTATGGTTTCCTGACCATGGACATTGGATGTCATTGATAACGGGATCACATCATTAGGAGAATGATGTGATGGACAAGACCCAATCCTAAGCATAGCACAAGATCGTGTAGTTCGTTTGATAAAGCTTTTCTAATGTCAAGTATCATTTCCTTAGACCATGAGATTGTGTAACTCCCCGATACCGTAGGAGTGCTTTGGGTGTACCAAACTTCACAACGTAATTGGGTGACTATAAAGGTGCACTACAGGTATCTCCGAAAGTGTTTGTTGGGTTGGCACGAATCGAGACTGGGATTTGTCACTCCATATGACGGAGAGGTATCTCTGGGCCCACTCGGTAATGCATCATCATAATGAGCTCAATGTGACCAAGTAGTTAGTCACGGGATCATGCATTACAGAACGAGTAAAGTGACTTGCCGGTAACAAGATTGAACGAGGTATTGAGATACCGATGATCGAATCTCGGGCAAGTAACATAACGATTGACAAAGGGAATTGCATACGGGATTGCTTGAATCCTTGAGATCGTGGTTCATCGGATGAGATCATCATGGAACATGTGGGAGCCAACATGGGTATCCAGATCCCGCTATTGGTTATTGACCGGAGAACGTCTCGGTCATGTCTGCATGGTTCCCGAACCCGTAGGGTCTACACACTTAAGGTTCAGTGACGCTAGAGTTGTTATGGGAAATAGTATGTGGTTACCGAAGGTTGTTCGGAGTCCCGGATGAGATCTCGGACATGACGAGGAGCTTCGGAATGGTCCGGAGGTGAAGATCGGTATATTGGACGAAGGGTATTGGAGTCCGGAATTGTTCCAAGGGTACCAGGTGATGACCAGCGTGTCCGAAAGGGGTTTCGGAGGCCCCGGCAAGCGTTGGGGGGCCTTATGGGCCAAGGGGAGAGGGCACATCAGCCCACTAAGGGGCTGAGCGCCCCTCCCACCCCATCTCACGTAACCAGGAGAGGTGGGGGCACCACCCCTAGGGCAGCCGCCCCTCCCGGCTTAGGGGGCAAGTTTCCTAGGGGGTGGGGGTGCCCAAACCCATCTAGGGTTTCCCCTGTGGCCGCCGCCCCCCTAGGGAACCCTTGGGCGCCTCCCCCTCCTCCCTTCCCCCTATATATAGTGAGGGAGAGAGATGGCAGCCGCACCCTTCCCCTGGCACAGCCCTCTCCCTCCTCCAACACCTCCTCCTCCTCCGTAGTGCTCGGCGAAGCCCTGCCGGAGAACCACGAGCTCCATCACCACCATGCCGCCGTGTTATCGGAGTTCTCCCTCAACTTCTCCTCTCCCCTTGCTGGATCAAGAAGGAGGAGACGCCCCCGGGCTGTACGTGTGTTGAACGCGGAGGCACCGTTGTTCGGTGCTTAGATCGGATTCGGTCGCGATCTGAATCGCTTCGTGAACGACTCCACCGACCGCGTTCTTGTAACGCTTCCGCTTAGCGATCTTCAAGGGTATGAAGATGCACTCCCTATCTCTCTCGTTGCTAGTCTCTCCATAGATTGATCTTGGTGATGCATAGAAAATTTTGAATTTCTGCTACGTTCCCCAACAGTGGCATCATGAGCTAGGTCTATGAGTAGTTTCTATGCACGAGTAGAACACAAGTTGTTGTGGGCGTTGATTTTGTTCAATATGCTTACTGTTACTAGTCCTATCTTGTTTCGACGGTATTGTGGGATGAAGCGGCCCGGACCAACCTTACACGTACACTTACGTGAGACAGGTTCCACCGACTGACATGCACTTGTTGCATAAGGTGGCTAGCGGGTGTCTGTCTCTCCCACTTTAGTCGGATCGGATTCGATGAAAAGGGTCCTTATGAAGGGTAAATAGCAATTGGCATATCACGTTGTGGTTTTGGCGTAGGTAAGAAGCGTTCTTGCTAGAAACCTATAGCAGCCACATAAAAACTTGCAACAACAATTAGAGGACGTCTAACTTATTTTTGCAGCATATGTCGTGTGATATGATATGGCCAAGAAGGATGTGATGAATGAAATATATGTGATGTATGAGATTGATCATATTCTTGTAATAGGAATCACGACTTGCATGTCGATGAGTATGACAACCGGCAGGTGCCATAGGAGTTGTCTTTATTTATTGTATGACCTGCGTGTCACTGAATAACGCCATGTAATTACTTTACTTCATTGCTAAACCGTTAGCCATAGTAGTAGAAGTAATAGTTGGTGAGACAACTTCATGGAGACACGATGATGGACATCATGATGATGGAGATCATGGTGTCATGCCGGTGACGATGATGATCATGGA